GCGGCGCGAGGGCGAAATCAGAAATCCTTTTGCTTATAACTTGCTTTGTGTTTTCTGTTTTTGTATGCCTTCTTCAATGAAGTCACTGGAACTTTTTGTCTTGCTGTTTTTCAGCAAATTCCTTCACATAGTTGAGGCCAGAGCTTCCCATGCAAGCTACTAAGACTCTAATTAGTCTTCATAGTCTAGAGTAAAGGCTGCGCACAAACAAGACGTTGACCCTCCTCCCCATCGCGTTTCCTCCTCGTCGCGCCTCCTCCCCGTCGACTCTCATCCCCCACGCCTCCCCCACTTTCGCCTCCCCCACCGTCGCCGCCCCCACCATTGCCTTCCCCACCGTCGCCTTCCCCACCGTCGCCTCTCCTCCCCGTCGCCTCCCCCACCGTCGCCGCCCCCACCGTCGCCTTCCCTACCGTCGCCTTTCCTGCCCTTCGCCTCCCTCACCGTCGCTCCTCCCCCACCGTCGCTCCTCCCCGTCGTTTCCCCCACCGTCGCTCCTCCCCGTCGTTTCCCCCACTGTCGCTCCTCCCCGTCGTTTCCCTCACCGGCTCTCCTCCCCGTCGCTCCTCCCCGTCGTTTCCCCCACCGTCGCTCCTCCCCGTCGTTTCCCCCATCGTCGCTCCTCCCCGTCGCTTTCCCCACCGTCACTCCTCCCCGTCGCCTCTCCTCTCCATCGGCCCCCCACTGTCGCCTCTCATCCCCGACGCCTCCGCCCCTTCGCGCATCCTCTCCGCCGCCTCTCCTCCGCATCGCTTATCATTCACGACTGGTGAGTGCGCGGGTGTGAGTGAGTGGAGGGGTGAGTGTGTGTGAGTGCGAGGGTGTGAGTGAGTGCCGAGGTGACTGTGAGTGCGGAGGTGAGAGTGAGTGCGGAGGTGAGTGTGACTGCTCGGGTGAGTGTGAGTGCGCAGGTGAATGTGAGTGCGTGGGTGAGTGTGGGTGCGAGGGTGAGTGTGAGTCCGTAGGTGAGTGTGGGTGCGCGGGTCAGTGTGGGTGGGGGGGTGAGTGTAAGTGAGGGAGTGCGTGAGAGAGTGCACGTGAGAGAGCACGTGAGAGTGCGAGTGAGAGAGCGCGTGAGAGTGCACGTGAGAGAGCACGTGAGAGAGCGCGTGAGAGAGCCCATGAGAGAGCGCGTGCGTGTGAGAGTGCGCGCGAGGGAGCGCGTGATGGAGCGCGTGAGGGCGCATGAGAGAGCGCATGAGTGAGTGCGTGAGAGAGAGAGCACATGAGAAAGCGCATGAGAGAGCGCATGATAGAGCGCGTGAGAGAGCGCATGAGAGAGCGCGTGAGAGCGCGTGAGAGAGCGCATGAGAGCGCGTGAGAGAGCGCATGAGAGCGCGTGAGAGAGCGCATTAGAGGGCATGTGAGTGAGTGCGTGAGAGAGAGCACGTGAGAGAGCGCGTGAGAGTGCGAGTGAGAGAGTGCGTGAGAGAGGCCATGAGAGAGCGCGTGCGCGTGAGAGTGCACATGAGAGTGCGCGTGAGGGAGGGCGTGAGAGAGCGTGTGAGAGAGCGCATGAGTGAGTGCGTGAGAGACAGCATGTGAGAAAGCGCATGAGAGAGCATGTGAGAGAGCGCGTGAGAGACACATAAAAGAGCACGTGAGAGAGTGCGTGAGAGAGTGCGTGAGAGAGTGCGTGAGAGCGCGTGAGCGAGCGCGTGAGAGTGAGCGTGAGAGAGCGTGTGAGAGAGCGCGTGAGAGAGCGCGTGAGAGAGCGCCTGAGAGTGCACGTGAGAGTGCGCATGAGAGAGCGCGTGAGAGACGGGGCATGCGCTCTCTCACGTGAGAGTGCGTGAGAGAGAGCACGTGAGAGAGCGCGTGAGAGTGAGAGTGAGAGAGCGGGTGAGAGTGCGAGTGAGAGAGCGCATGAGAGTGCGCGTGAGAGAGCACGTGAGAGAGCGCGTGAGAGAGCACGTGAGAGAGCGCGTGAGAGAGCGCGTGAGAGAGCGCGTGAGAGAGCGCGTGAGAGAGCCCATGAGAGAGCGCGTGCGCGTGAGAGTGCGTGCGAGGGAGCGCGTGAGGGTGAGCGTGAGAGAGCGTGTGAGAGTTCGCGTGAGAGAGCGCGTGTGTGTGCGTGTGAGAGGGCGCGTGAGAGAGCGCATGAGTGAGTGCGTGAGAGAGCGTGTGAGAGAGCGCATGAGATGGCGCATGAGCACGCTAGGGCGTAAGCTCTAGCATCTATTCTGCTGGTGCTTGGGCAATTGGGGCTACTTATGCAAATGAGTGTCGCTTTCTGCGCTGGCGCTTAGAGTGGCGGCTTCTAAGGTGTTGGCGCCTCAGACGCTCGTCTAGGCTGCTGGCAACTAGTGAGCTAACGCTTGGGCGCTGGCACCTAGTGTGCTGAGCCCTGTGGCGCTCGTATCTGAAGCGCTAGCGTCATGGCCTTGGATGCCTAGCCACCAACCCTGGGACGCTTACTGCTTAAGGCGGGCGGTTGCGTTGCCGCGCGCTGGCGCCTTCCTGGAGCTCATCGGCACCTCGCAGCACACTCATGCACTGAAGTGCACTGGCGCCTTTCTGCTATGTGTTGACGCCTTGTGCAATGCATGTGAGGGAGGGTGATTTGTATTTCTTGCTTGGCCTCCTGTAAGAGCACGTGTGTTGCAGTATCCTATTTTTGCTTTCTTGTACACAGTGTGTGAACATACACTGTTTTTTGTGCAGGGTGTGTTCTGCTTTCTTTGTTCTTGCTCTCTTGTGCAGGGCGTGTGTGTGTTGACTTCCCTGTTTTAACTTTGTGCAGGGCGTGTGTGTGTTGACTTCCCTGTTTTTGCCTGGCCATGTGTGTGTTGACTTCTCTGATTTTGCTTTGTGCAGGGCGCGTGCGTGAGCTGAGAAGGGAGATGAGGGAGTGGGATGGAGATGAGGGAGTGTGGGAGAGAGGGTTGTAGGGAGGGTAACGTGGGATAGGCTAGCAATTATTTATGCATTTCTGAATTTTATTCATGACGGTTGTGTGTTTATTACGGTATCTGTATCTATCTGTGCTTGTTTTTTTGTGTGTTCATGTCTGTTTGTTGTGTTTGTTTCACTGTGGGGTTGCACTTCGATGCGTTCACAACCGTTACGTAGTGTTGTATTTTTTTTTTTAAGTGCGCTTGCATTCTTGTTTGTGGGATGCGTTTCAAAGTGTGGTGTTACTGTGTGTCATGTATGGAATAAGAGGTTGTTAATCGTCTTTGGGGCAGCGTGTTTTCGCTGTTTCAACGACCCCATCAACCTCTGTTGCTGCATGATGCATTTTAACATTCACTTTGAAGCATCCACTCCACCTCATACTCACTTTGAAGCATCCACTCCACCTCATACCTTGTTCATTTGTACAATTGCATTCTTTCATGTTGATGCCAGAAATTATGCTCGACCGTACGATCCGCCGTATTTATCGACGAGGTTGGGACGGTCGAGCAAGTTCATGGTTTCAACATGATACGTACGTGAGTGAGTACTGGTATTTGGTTTTACATATGGGGATCCCATTCAAGAGTGTTTTTTATCCAATATTTGAGGCATCCGTTTTAACAAAGTTTCAAAACATTCAAACGGGTGCTCCAAAAAGTGCGTAAATACCACTCTTCAAATGATATCCCCAAAATGTCAAACCAAATATAGGGTTGCCACGCAACCCAAAAATGTGTGTAAAATGTTTGTGTTGGAATCAGTTGTATGTGGTTACGTGCACATGTACTCTTTGAGGGGTTACCTGTTGTATGGTCATGCAGAACACCGCGCCCCCAACACCCTTGCGCTCAGGTCGGGCTCCTAGACATGCGTTTTACGGTTTGAAACGCAACACACGGGCGGTGTTCTGAGGCCACGCGAAAATGAGCGGGGACGGAACGGAAACAAAAATGGCCTGCAGAACATTGCCTAGATTCTACCCAGCATAACTGACTCTAGCGCGGAACGCGCCCCCCGGGTCCAATAAGCGGATTTGGCGGGATGCAGCACTAAATCAAAACAAGCCAATCAACAGCGCCGAGTGCCATTCCCATCGCCGTATCGCCGCCATCGGTGCAAGGTGAGCTCGTCTTTCACTTGGTGACTTCACCAACAAGCACATCAGGGAATTCGGATCGGAATCAGGAACTGGAAACAAGAAGAAGCAGGCATTAGGAACAAGAAGCACGCTTTAGGAACTGGGAACAAGCAGGCATTAGGAACTGGGAACAAGCAGGCATAGGTTGAGCCGAGAGTCAGATGAGTTTGAGTCGAGTCAGAAAATACACGTATATATGTCAGATGAGTAGACTCGCCGTCAGGATGAGTCGCTAGGTCAGTCTGGTTCACAGCTTTGCAGCACTGCAGATCTTCGTAGTGTTTCGTGCTCCCTGGTCGATTCAAAACTATGGAGTGACACCCTTGCTCTTAAATTGCCGCATGTTCACTTAGCTTCGAGGCGACAGTATTACTACCAGTGAGAAATCTTAGCGAGATATACATACAAGGGTATATTAATCTTCAGCCATTCACCATGCTAGCTGCAGCAGAGCGTATGGCGAAAGTGTTGAACTGGCAGCAGACGGCAATCGTGTCAGCAGCCCTGATCGCCACCGTTATAATCGCTAGCCAATGCTGTAATCTTTCCTCTCAAAATATTTTGTTATCCCCTTCGAGTACTTCCCATTGTCAACCTGGAGAGCATCCCTACAAAATTTCTTGGAGATTTTTGTTCCTATGACGTAGTGGTACCACTCTCTTACCACATTTAGTCTCAACGCGTGTATCCCTAACGTTTTCATCCTCATCCCTTTGTACAAATCATATCCGGGACGCTTCCTGCAGACACGGCTTCTTGGAATGCCAGTCCGAGCCGACCATCCGATGACTGCACCATCACTGCCAGTAACCAGCAAGACTCCAAAAAACCCTCGAGATTCCACATTCAGGACTACGGTATCCAGGGACCCATCCCCTGGACGTACATCCGACCGTCCGTCCGCGATGAGTTCACAGTCAACGGCTCGATCCGGGCCATTGAGCTTTTCTGCGGGTTGGATATGCAGGACTCTGGGGTGATGCCTATCGTCTGGCCGACCAAGCAGATCGACAAAAAACGGCAACAGGCGGAGGCTCGAGCCCCCAGAGTTTCCCACTATGGCGAGAATACAACCCTAACTTTTTACGAGACGCTGGATAAGTACCCAGTTGAAGGGAAATCGGTGCTGGTGATAGGGAGTCAAGTTCCTTGGCTTGAAGGGATTCTCTTGGCGTATAAGGCTGGGTCGATCACGACCGTTGATTTCAACAGACCCACTGCAGACTATCCCGGACTGAGGCTGTGGAATATTGCTGAGCTGGACGCTTCAGATGAGACCTTTGACGTGGTAGCTTCGTATTCGTCGCTGGAGCACGATGGGCTGGGGAGATATGGCGATCCGCTCAACCCGGATGGGGATCTGCAGAGAATGGCGAAGGTAATTTTGCTGAGGTGGTTGGTGCTATAGGGTGCTGTTTCCTTGGTCATGTGGGTTGCCAACTTGCCTTCGTTTCAAACCCTCCTTCATACATGTTTGGTCTCTGCTGAAATATACAGAATCCTGCCACGTGTTTGCATCAGCTGATTCGTGCCCGTCCTTACCATGTCCTGTTACCCCTAATGAGCCATCTCCTATTACAGCATTCTGCGTGTGTCTAACCTTCGCCACCATGTCCTCTAGCATCTCCTCCCGTTCTGCCGTTTGAGTCGAGTTAAAAGTCCTCACCACGTCCTGCCGTCCCTCCCAGACTTTATTCTCCCAAAACTCTTTTTTCCCCTTTCCCATTTCATTTGCCACTACCCTGCTGCGCAGATCAAGGGGACTCCGAATCCGCAAGGCGCGTCTTCCGAATCGTGACATGTGCTCGTTATCTTAGTGGGCAACGACACGCTTGAGTTCAATACTCAGCTCGTGCACCATCTCCCCACATCTCATGCATTTCCACTCCCTGGTATCTCCCCCATTCCCTGGCATCCCCTCCTCCCTTTGCTGCTGCGCAGATCAGGGGCCTATTGAAGCCAGGAGGGCTCTTCTTCCTGGGGCTCCCAGTGGGCAACGACACGCTGGTGTTCAATGCACATCGGGTGTACGGTCCCATCCGCATGCCGCTGCTGCTCGACGGCTGGAAGCTGCTGGACGTGTTTGGGGTGTCCAGTCTAGAAGCAGCTTACAGGGAGAACCTGAATGCAGCAATCATACAGCCGGTCATGGTGTTGAGGTAGAGGTGTCTGAACGCAGGTATGCATATGTTTGTCAGAGCAATGCATGCTCTTGCCATAGTAAACGGAACTCCCAGACGCTGAAGGGGGCTATTAGCTCCTCGTTCACTCCACGGGCAACCACCAGGCACAACTGGCTGTATATTGGTCGATCATATCTCCAGAAATAGGACCAGGGTATATTTAGTAAAAGCAATTTACTTGGTATTCCTGAAAATCAGATTAGCTTGCCAAAGTAAGCCTGTCGGCTAAAGTTTTTTAACCATTAGGTTTCTTCTGATTTGTGAGGGTTATTTTTCGAGCTGCCTCAGTGTAAATTCCATGAGCTACATACTCTTCTATACAGGGTACAGGCATATTGTACAGAGAAGAGGGTACTGTGTCTGCTAGGCATGTGTTACGGGTGCAATGGATCGAGGTAGCGAGGATTGCACTAGAGTGCTCAACGAGTACAAAGTATGAGCGAAGGCATGAGCGAATACTTATACGCGAAAATGTGCAAACGGTAACGCGGTGCGTGCGAGCTAGTGCTACGCTGGCGCGAGGTTCGGGCTAGTCCCGAAGCGTAGGCCGACTCGGCTGCTTCCAGCAGCGCGAGGTTTGGTGAAACAGTGCGCGCGAAGTTGGCGAAGACCCGTTAGCAGTACCGTATCACCCCGGATATAAGCGCACCTGCGCTTATAATAAAAAAGTGTTTTTTAGGGGGGTGCGCTTAGAATTGAGTAAAAAATATACCGTCATCGCTCGGATATAAGACATGTATGTCTTATCTCATACACTAAAAAAAATGCTTGGGTTATCTTGTATTTGGGGAGGTTTTGGGTGTCTTATAAGTCTTATAAATGGAAACCTTTTTAAACTACTTAGAAATATTTTCACGCATCTTGAAAAGAGTTTCTCATTAAGAGTGTCGATGTTGCGAAGTTGCCACTTCGGCAACCATTGTTCGGAACGCCACGTCATCCCGAATACTTGCAGAGTCAAATTTGGTAGTACGGTATGTGACTCAGCACGTGGCAGAATTCGCGTGTCGCAAGGGTAAAAATGTACGCGGTATTTCAATTTTCACTATAATACATTGCAGTTTCGATTATAAGACAGATATGTCTTATCTCGTACACACAAATAGGTGTCGTATAAAAAGGCTAGCCTGTTTATAAGAGATACCCGTATAATAGACAACCCCTGTCTACTATTCAACACTGTCTTATTGATAAGAAACGAGGAATGCAATGACTAAGTGAAAGTTGGGTACAAGAAGCAAACCCTAGAAAACTGTACCCCATATGTGCTACCCCACTATAGCCTACAGTAGCTATGTCATATAAATCTGACACACCCCCATAGGCAAAGTGGGGGAGAACAAGGGGTCACAAGACCAGTCAAGCAAAGCAAAGCAAAAACAAGCTCAGGGTGGATCACAAATGTCAGAACATTATATAGCTTATGCTGTTGTGTAGGCTATAGTGGGGTATCCCATAAGGGGTACAACCCAATTAGGGTTTCCCATATGTACTCACTTCATTCATAGTTCAAACATTCTCGTTCTTATTTCACATGGAATCAGAGCAGGTCCCCTCCTAGGGACTGCTTCTAGGGCCCACCGAAGCGCGCCCCGAGGCGCGTTTTCCTTTTTTTTAGCGACCCTCCGTGTCGCCCCTCGCGGCCCCGCCGCCGTCCCTTCGCGGCCCCGCCACTCTGCTCAAGCGGCCCTGCCGCCCTTCCTTCGCGGCCTCGCCGCCCTACTAACGCGGCCCCGCCGCCCTTCCTTCGCGGCCCCGCCGCCCTGCTCGCGCGGCCCAGCCGCCCTCTGCTTCGCGGCCCCGCCGCCCTGCTCACGCGGCCCCGCCGCCCTCTGCTAAGCGGCCCCGCCGCCCTGCTACAGCGGCCCAGCCGCCCTCACGTCACGGCCCGCCCGCCCTCTGCTTCGCGGCCCCGCCGCCCTGCTCACGCGGCCCCGCCGCCCTGCTCACGCGGCCCCGCCGCCCTCTGCTAAGCGGCCCCGCCGCCCCACTACAGCGGCCCCGCCGCCCTCACGTCGCGGCCCGCCCGCTGCCCTACCTGCGGCCCGCCAGCCGCCCTACCTGCGGCCCGCCCGCCGCCCTAACTGCGGCCCGCCCGCCGCCCTACTTGCGGCCCTACCGCCGCCCTGCCTGCGGCCCGCCCGCCACCCTACCTGCGGCAAGCCCGCTGCCCTACCTACGGCCCCCCCCCCGCCGCCCTACCTACGGCCCGCCCGCCGCCCTACCTGCGGCCCTACCGCCGCCCTACCTGCGGGAGCCGCCTAGCAGCAGAACCGCCGGGAGCCGAGCCGCCCTGCCGCCGAGCCGCCCGGGAGCCGAGCCGCCTCATGCTACCGTACCTCTTTCCTGACCTTACTGCCTTTCCCACTGTCGCTGACCTCATTACGCACCTCCGCACTAGTGACACTCGCTACCGCGCCGCCCTTCCTGCTGAGTTCTGCGCCAAGAACCCCCCCCCCATGTACATCACTCTCTATTACATAGTCACACGCCTCCCTGACTCCCTTCGCGTAGTCAGGGACCACTACCTCTCGGTCTGTCCCACCACTCTCACTGTCGACCTCCTCGAGAAGTCCCTCCTGGCGGCGGAGAAGAGCATCGTCGCTGTAGGAGCCTCTCGTGGTGACCCTCGCACCCCCATCTTTGAGGGGTGCTCTCCTTCCCCCCTGCTGCCCTCTGTTGCCTCTGCTGCTGCTGCCGACCTGCTTGCTCTTGAGTCGGTCTGCGCGGCGTCTGCCCCTAGCGGGAGACGCCGCCCTGGCAGGGGCAAGGGGGGCAAGGGCGCGGGTGGAGCTGGCGGGGGCGGTAGAGGAGGCGGTGGAGGCGGAGGAGGGAGTGGGGGTGACGGTTGGAGTGGTGGCGGGGGCGGTGGTGGCGGTGGCAGCAGCGGAGGAGAAGGCGGTGGTGGCGGCATCGGTGGGAGCGGAGGCAGCGGTGGTGGTGGAGGTGGAGGCAGCGGTGGCGGAGGGGGTGGAGCTGGTCGGGGTGGTGCCCCGCAGCGTAGCGGCCCTAGTGGTGGCCAGCGTCAGCAGCAGCAGCAGCAGCAGCAGCAGCAGCAGCGTTCGCGGGACATCCCCCCGCCCCAGCAGCTCCGTGAGTGGTACACGCAGCGTCAGCGGGGTGGGGGTTTTGGTCCGTGCACCTACGTCCTTCGTTCCGGTGACCGCGCGGGTGAGCAGTGTGGGGGTGCGCACCCCACTCAGCGCTGCTTTGGCCGCCTGACGGACGCTTGGCGTCAGCAGTTCCCCGAGGCCAGTGAGATTCCCCGTTGGGGAGAGCTGTCTAGGGCTGGCGTAGCTATCTTTGATCTTGACTTTGATGCTATCCTTGCTGCCATGTATGCTGTGACTATTAGTGAGGAGGGTGACTGTTACCGGTGTTTCCCGCCCGACCCGGGCATTGGTACTGCTACGCTAGGTACTTCTGAGGCTGCTGCTCTAGGTGCCAGTGCGTCTGCACTCTCAGGTACTGGTGAGGCTGCGCTCTCAGGTACTGCGTCGGCTTCGGCCTCCCTCACCTTCACGCTTGACTCAGGGGCTTCTCGCTCCTTCTTTCGAGACCGCACCACACTCACGCCGCTTGGCCGGCCGGTTGCAGTTTCCCTGGCTGACCCCACTGGGGGTCCAGTCCTCTCTCACTTCTCCACTGTCCTCCCGTGTCCGGCTGCCCCCTCGGGCACCTTGTCTGGTCTGTACCTCCCCTCGTTCTCGACGAACTTGGTGAGTGGTGCTGACCTCCAGGATGCGGGGGTTCACCAGTTTACTCCTGCGAGTCAGCGGGTGACCCACTGCTCGGACGCCCGCACAGGCCGACACCTGGCCACGTTCTCGCGTCGGCCGGGGTCGAGTCTCTACACACTGACCACTGCGTCTCCTCCTGTCCCTGCGTCTGGCCAGGTAGCTGCGTCGGGTCAGGTGTTTGCTGCTGCGTCCAGGTCTGGTCCTGAGTCTGCCCCCTGCTCGTGTCGCCGCTTGTCTCACGAGACTCTCCTGTGGCACCACCGTCTTGGCCACCCCTCCTTGCTTCGTCTTCGGGGCATGGCTTCCCGTGTCCTTGTCTCTGGTCTTCCTCGGTCTCTCCCTCCCCTTCCTTCGGGACCCGGACCTTCTTGTGTCCCCTGTGTCGAGGGGCGGCTCCGGGCTGCCCCTCACTCCTCCCAGTTCCCCCCGACAGAGGCTCCACTGCAGACGCTTCACATGGACGTGTGGGGCCCCGCCCGCGTCCGTGGGCTGGGTCACGAGCGCTACTTCCTGCTGGTGGTTGACGACTACTCGCGTTACACCACAGTCTTCCCCTTGCGCAGCAAGGGTGATGTCACTGAGGTGTTGATCGACTGGATCCGCGCAGCTCGTCTCCAGCTCAGGAGGAGCTTCGGCTCGGACTTTCCGGTTCTGCGTCTGCACTCTGACCGAGGTGGAGAGTTCTCCTCTGGCCTTCTGCGAGCCTACTGTCGTGCACGAGGCATCCGCCAGACCTTTACGCTTCCGGACTCTCCACAGCAAAATGGGATTGCTGAGCGCCGCATTGGCATGGTCATGGACGTCGCTCGTACGTCCATGATGCATGCGGCTGCCCCCCATTTTCTGTGGCCGTTTGCGGTTCGGTACGCGGCGCATCAGATCAACCTTCACCCCAGGGTCTCCCGGCCGGAGACCTCCCCAGCTCTGCTGTGGACGGGGAAGGTCGGCGATGCGTCTGCGTTCCGTGTCTGGGGATCTCGGGCGTTTGTCCGCGACTTGTCTGCGGACAAGCTGTCCCCTCGTGCTGCTCCCTGTGTCTTCCTCGGCTTCCCCCCTGACGCTCCAGGGTGGCAGTTCTACCACCCCTCCTCTCGGCGTGTTCTGTCCTCCCAGGACGTCACGTTCGACGAGTCAGTCCCCTTCTACCGCCTCTTCCCCTACCGCACTCCTTCCCTCCCCCCGCCACCGCACTTCCTTGTGCCAGGTCCCCCCCCGGTAGACCCCCTTCCCCCTCAGAGTC